CTTACTTGGTGTACTGATAATCACTTGAAAGTAAAGACTTTGTCATGCATTTCCACGGCTCTGGTTCATCCTTTCTGATAATGCAGAGTGCACTCTGACCCAGATGTTCTGTAGAACTTCACTTGGGAAATTAAATTAGCACATGTAGCACATACACATTTGCACGCATACTCAGAAAATGTTTGTGGTATGTATCTTAGCAGGAAGGAAATCACTTGTGATTTCACCCAGCAACCGGTTCGAAAAACAGCATCCGACCAGTAGTAAGTCTGCAGTTTGCCTTTTCTCCAGAGCACCCTGGCCTGGGGCAGCCTTGGGCAAGTTATCAAGCATATTTCCTCCCTGGCGGGCTACATGATATGTATAATACCTATAGGAACTTCACACTAGCTCTTAGGAGTTAAATGCTCTGTGACTCTCTATTAGCCGAAAGTCTTTGGCTGCAAAAATAATTACTAGTAGATACAAACAGTTGAAAGAGAACACTGTGGGATTTCCTTGCTTGTTCTGAAAAAGTACGAGAACATTAGATGCCCTTTAAGAAAATCACATTTTATGAGACTCAGAATGGGTTGATTTTAGGCCATGTTTGTCTCTAGTTACTGTTCCTGTTTATAGTATGATTCCTCAAAAGAGTTCCATATGAGCTTTTCCAGTTTTGACTGTGAAAGCACTCCAGTCAGGCTTGCCACTACAATGAAAGCGAGTGTCAAGGTCAGCAATGATGACCAGATTGGGAGGTCCAATCTTCTTCCCCCTTGACCTTCAGTCCTGTTTGACAGGGTTGACCAGTTCTTCTTGAACCACTTTCTTAGCTTTATTCTGCAGTGATGTGTTACCTTGCGCCTCTGTCTCTTGCTTTAGTTCTAACTCCTCTTTTCCCAGGGATTTGTTCTTGGACTTCCGTATGCTCATTCCCTTGTTGAAACCCAGCTTCTCTTCATGGCTTTAAATAACCATCTCTGTTGAAGACCCAGGTTTATATCCAGCTTCTAACTATAGAACTGTCAATTGCTTATTTGCTGTTTTGGTTTGGATATCTAATAAACATCTCCACCTTAACGTGTTCCATCCTGTACCCGGTTTTGTTAGGACTTGACTCCTGGTGTTGCTGAGTGCAGCAAACTCCATCTCTCCTACTGCAAATACGGATTTCCCAAATTGGAGGACCATGAAGAAGCAACACCTGCGTTCACCACTTTAGATGCTGTATCTAACCTGTTTGCCACCAATGTTTTCATCCTGGGTTCATAGGGTTGTACTTACATACATTTCTGCCTGACTCTTCACTTCCAGCCAAGCAGCTGAATATTGGTACAGTTGAAGAAGCAACATAAGTACTTCAAAAGTGTGATCTAGGGTCAGTTGAGAGGAAAGATAAGATCTGAAAGGAGCTTGGTGATCTGGGAGAGAGGAACCTAAATAGTCTGAAGAGTGAATGGAATGTCACGTGAGTGGAGAGACTTGGCTGTGAAGGGTTTAAGGGAGGTGAGAACATGTTTAAATGTGGGGAGGGAAGGGAATAGAAGGAGCGAGATGGAGAAGGTCTTGTCTTCTGGGTGGAGTGAGATCCCTGAGGGGTCTGGAGGCCACAGGAGCTGGAGCACAGATGGGGGGATTAGTTCTAGCCTTTAAGCTTGATGGTGCTCAGGGAAGATGGGTGTTTGTGTCCTGCTAGGCCAGCTGAATCCATCTCTGGGAATGGGGCCAGGACTAAGATGTTTTAAAATCTCCCTTGGGGAGGGCCTTCCATTGTGGCCTGACATGAAAAACTAGCATCTGTTTGGTTCTTTGGCCACGAAGGCCCATGATGTTGGTTCTGACATGGAATGAACTCCAAGATACACATATATGTAGAACAGTGTGTGATTTGTTCCCATTGAGCATAAAAAAAGATATTCACATGGCTGTATGTGTATATACAGACGATAGAAGAAACTGGTGCTAGTCGTTACTCTCAGACGACAGGGTCTGCGACGGGAGGGTTTCTTTTTGTGCTCTTCATTTACAGGGTCCTTCGGCAGTGTCCCTGGCCTCTACCCACTGGGTGCCAGTAGAACCCCTTCAGCTGTGACAACCAAAAATACTTCCATTGTCAGGTGTCCCTGGGGGCCCAGACCATCCCCCAGTTAAGAACCACTGTCCTAAAGCAACTCAGAATTAAAAACAAAGTACCACCCGTGATTCCTGGAACATTCCAGGTACTCAGCAAATGTTTCCTAATTTTCCAAAACTTGTCCTTTTCCCCTCTTTATCCCTGATTGGCATGTCTAATACTAGCTGTTACTGGTCAGGATAGGATACACTGAAATCCCAGTGGCTTAATAAAAAGGTTTATTTCTTACAATGTTGGATACAAGTTTGGTGACTGCAGCGCAGCTGTCCTCCTGCGGTGTCAGTGACTCAGTTTACTTCCACTTTGCCGCTCTACCATCTTAGCACATGGTTTCCACGATGGCAGAGGCAGGGGAAGGAGAAGTTGGCAAACAGGCACCAGCTCTTACACGCTTCAGTCCGGAAATGACATGTGACACTTGTTTTCAGCCCATTGGCCAGCATGGGTCGCATGAGCCGACCTAGCTGCAAGGAGTCTAAGAAGGGAGAGCCCAGGGGCGCCTGGGCGGCTCAGTCGTTAAGCGTCTGCCTTCGGCTCAGGTCATAATCCCAGGGTCCTGGGATCGAGCCCAACATCGGGCTCCCTGCTCCGCGGGAAGCCTGCTTCTCCCTCTCCCGCTCCCCCTGCTTGTGTTCCCTCTCTCGCTGTGTCTCTCTCTGTCAAATAAATAAGATCTTTAAAAAAAAAAGGGAGAGCCCAGGGATATTTGGATATTCTGTGAGTAAAGAATGTCTGCTACGGTTGTTAACAGCTTTCGCCATGCTGGCTGATGTTCTGTGAACTGCACTGGTATTAACTAGTCCTCACAGCAACTTTATTCTGCAGGCTCTGAGGCAGAGCGGTTGCAAGGATGAACACCGCTGGAGCCTGAGACTGGCGGTCTAGCTCAGCATCTGTGCTTAACCACTGCCTGCACTCAGCACCGAGCAGATGGGTCGCCCCTTTTATGCTTCTCACCTAGGTGATCCTTTTCCCTTTATCTCTCACATCCTAGATCAATTGCTCCTCTGGGCAATTTCTTCTTTTTTTAAATTTTATTTTAAGTAGGCTCCCTGCCCAGCATGGGGCTTGAAATCACAACCCTGAGATCAAGAGATCATGCTCTACAAACTGAGCCAGCCAGGCGCCCCTCCTCCGGGCAATTTTGTGTCATGTGAACCCATTGTCTAGAGAGAAGGATGCCCTCAGCATTGCCCATTACAAGCACAGAAACTCTTTGGTCATTCTATTGGGTGCCATAGCTCAGACCTACTTAAGTTCTTGGTAGAAGGCATAAAATGGCTTCTAGAAAGTCACACCTTGTGTGTAGTATCTACAGATTCCCTGAAGATGTACCATTCCCACATTATGGGTGGAAAAAACCCCCGAGTTTCTGAAAGGTGAGGCCGTTTGTCAGAGGCCATACATGGAATCTGCGTGCTTCAAGTGAGGGAGCCTATGTTCCAGGCACTTAGGTAAACATACAACGGCTCTGCGCTTTAGGCGTGTGATCCCACTTCCAAGCATGGGGAAGCTGAGGCCCAGAGAGGCTTCTAGAATGCTCAAGTTGACAGAGCAAGGAAGTGACAGAGTGGGCATCAAGTCCAATCAGATCAGCCTGAAGGCTGCAAGGGAAAACCTTCCCTGCTCTGCCTCCAGGCTTTTTCCGAGGACTAGGGTGGGTGGAGTACCCAGCCTCCAGCCTCCTAAAGCTTCAAAGCCTGTAGCTAACATTCTTGGCACATTCGGTCTTCCCCGCCAGAAGACTGACGGTACCAGAAGTCAGTGGAAGCCTCTTGGTGAAAAGGACCTGCTCCGATGAGTCTGGCTTGCTCCTCTTCTGTCACCCTTTGTATTTTTTCTCTCCTTCAGGGATAGTCTGGCAGGTTTCAGAGTGTTTTTTCTCCTGTCAACTGGTCTCCTACCACTTCAGTGGCTCTGAAATTACCGAACGAGCTTCCCCACAAGGCAGGCTGTTCCAGTTTTGCTCCCTCCCACTTCCCTTCCCCTGTGTAGGCTGCTCTGAAGAGCAGGAGAGGTACAATCTTTACTGAAAGATTTCGCCAGTGGTTCTGGGAGAGGAAGCTGCCAGATCATGTCAACATCTATCATCTCAGGCTTTTAAAAAACTTCAAATGACACTGGCTGGTGGGTCAAATGTCAGCTCAAGGCCATAGCTCACTGTGTTTGGAGGGGATGAGTGAGGGGGATGGGTGGGTTTGGAGGGCCAGGGGCACACAGCCGCCCTTCTGCTCCTACTTGAAAGTAACTTACAAAGGGAATAGTGGCAGCATTCTGGAACCCGGGGCAGCAGCTGAAGATAAGATTATGGGAGAAGCCAGGCTGGTTGTTCCAAGAACACAACCGGGTTGGCTACCGTTGTGCGGTTTTCAAAGGTAAGAAAGACCAGAGGGTGGAGCTCACTAGTTAAAAGCCTGAGTACTTTCGATAGCTCCCCCCTCTCCCGACCAGATGTGAGCTCTCTTTCTCTTTTACCCTCTTTGTACCCGTCTGTGGCTCTTGCTTTCCTGTGCACGGCATAGAAACAGATGCCTGACACCCCAGGCCTTCCTGACAGGAATTCAGAATATTTCTCCTGGTTTTGACCCAGTTTCCTGACCAACAGCATGTGACTTGTCTTATTGCCTGCACACCTCCTGACAAGGACAGCTGTGTGTTTAGTTCTAAGCACCCACGTGCTGTTGACCTATATTGTGTAGATCTCGTAGTGAAGAGCTCACTGCGCATCGTGGCATCCAGGATTTCAAATCAACGTAATGGAGTCGTTAGCCAAGGAAAATTCTTTCAGGATGCTTTGGAAATAATTTTAAAAATAGCTCACATTTACTAACATCAGTTTTATATCAGGAAAAATTCCAGGCATTTTATATACACATCGAATTTTCCCACTGTCACTCTGAGGTAGGTATGATTATTCTCATTTACACATTAGGAAACTGAGGCGCGAATCGATAAAGTCACTTGCCCAAGGTCACAGAGCCGATCAGTGGCACAGTCTGGATTTGAACCCGGGTCTGTCTGGCTTCCCGACCTGAATCTCTGTGTGATGTAGTTCAAGCTGTTCAGGCCATGGCAACGTCTTAAGTGGTCTGTTTCTAAAAGAGTCAGGAAGTCAGTGAATCTAGAACAGGCAGACCAGTTTCAAAAACAAGATCTAATGCCTGTGCTTTGTTTTTTCACTTACTCACCTAGCGGTTCTGAGGCCCCCCATGTCCCATCTGCTGCCACACTTGAAGATCCTGCCAGGCTGGGAAGAACTTCATTCCTCCTCACTTCATCCAGGTTGGCAGAGAGTTGGCAGCCAGCCCTCAGACACGCGTCTGTAACCCTTGCAAACACGACAGGACAGATGGTGTAACTGCTGAGTAATAGTGGCTTTGGCTGGAGCTTATGGTTATTTGGATTTATCTGTAGCTGAAGGCCTGATGATTTCATTCACAGCTCTTCATTCACTACTTAAGATGCGTGGGGCAGATCCTGAGTGCAGGGGGCTGGGGGGGGGGGCTCTCGCCGGGGCCTGGGACAGGAACAGGTTCCCAGAAGAAGGGCCCTTTCACCTGAGACCTGAGAGTGGGTCCGTCAGTCAGGTGTTGAGGTGGAATGGGGTTTGGGGCTACTTTCCAGATGGAGAGGAATGGCAACTGCTGAGAACTGGAAGTGAGAAAGGGCATGGGGCTTAGGAGGAACTGAGAAGCGCTCTGTGTTCTTGGAACTTAGGGTTTTTTGGGGTTGGGGAGAGCAGGTAAACACGAGTCTGGGGTAGGCTGGGGTGGGGATGGGCTGGGGCTCACCACACAGAGCCTTGTGAATCCATCAAGATATTGCTACTGAAGCCTGCTCCCCAGAAAACTTGACTAGATTTTACTCACGTTTTCCTGGATTTTGTTCACCTTTATATGTGTGGGGCCCCTACTCCCTCATGCCCTGGTGCCAGGACTTACCGGGTGCTGAAGTTTCAGAGATGCAAGAGGAGCTTTGCCTGGCTGTCCAAGGATGCAGCTCACTTCCACCAAAGACTTCCCGTCATGCACTGCGTCCTCTGAGTCTTACCATCCCTCAGTTGAGCAGATATTGTTCCCTTCCATAAAGGAGGGAACCGGAGCTCAGAGGGGTGAGCCCACCAGTGCAAGTTCACGTGCCAGTTAGTGCTGGAGCCTGGACGGCCAGTTCCAAAGGCCCACGTCTACTGTGCTTCCCCAGCAAATGAGACGGATGTGTCCACACGGAAGTTCATGCTGGAGTGACACGCAGTGAGAATGCCGAGTCAAGGTCGCCTGGCAGAAGAGGCAGGAGTGGGCTATCTGGCCTCATGGCGGAGGTGGGCCTTGCTGGAGAGGCAGGATTTGGATGGGTGCTGACCGGGCCACACACCTGTCGAAAGATCTCCTTCAAGGTCCCATCGGCAGTTAGGAAAGCTCCAATACCCCACGGGGCTCTCGCTCCCATGCCCCCAAATCGTGTTTTAGGAAATTAGGCAAACTAAATAGGGATCTTGTGTATCGTGTTCACTGCTGCCCAGTACAATGCCTGGCACTTCTCAGGCACCCAGTGTCCCCTGTTGCCGAATAAATGAATGAACTTCATCTCTAGTTACCTACTGTCTGCATCCTCACTCGCCTGGGGAATGAGGGCACCTGGACAGCATCTGCTGCTCTGCTCCTCAATCACTGCTCCCCGCCCCCCAGGCACTTCACCTCTGCCTCTGGCTGGGCCACAGCCAACTAAGTCCTGTGGCCTCAGAGGCCCCCAGCAATTTGGCAACATCTGTTGCAATTAAAAATGCATCCATTCTGACTCAGCAAGTCCACTTGAAGAAACGCAGGCTGTGGCATGGAGGCAGCATGGTGGTTCTGACCATCCTAGCGAGGCCTAGGAGCCAGTGGGCCCCCGCAGGTGTCCTGGAAGGAAGGAGCCTTCCTACAATATTTGGAGGTTTATGGGCCCCGTAGAAGGGAGGCAGAGCCCAGGGTTCTGGCATGAGGTGAATGCCAGGGAACTCTCTATGGAAAAATACACAAGGTTAGTGTTTTCCCGGGGCGGGGGTGGAGGGGGGTACTTTTCACTGTGGACCCCTCTGAGTCCCAGGTGATACAGGTGGGGGAGGCAGCCGATGTGGAGGGAGCAGCTATCCTGTGTCTGGGGTTGTGAACACTTCATACAGACTGTCTCATTAGAGCTTTACACAGGCCCATGAAATGATTGTTGTGTCCAGAAAACGAAGACACCCAGAGGGGAACTGCTTGACCGGGGATGATCTAAAAAGCCGAGATAACTAGCTTGGAGCTCAGGTAGCCTGATCCTCCAACAGATGCTCTTCATCGTGATGCGCCCAGGATTTTTCATTCAAGAGCAAGCCCCTGAGACGTTTCTCGCCCCAGACCGCCTCATCCGCCGGGTGCCCCGCCCGTGTTAGACGGGCGGGAGACCCCAGATGCAGAGGCTCGGGAGGGGCGGCCCGGGTCCCCGCGGGCCCCAGAGGCGTGCACGTGGTCGGCGGGCGCGGAGGGCGCCCGGCTGATGCAAGGGAGCAGGCTTCCCGCTGGGCCCCAGGAGCCCGGCGGGCGGCCCCTCCCGGTGGGGTGACGGCGCGGGGCGGCCCGGCCGGGGGCGGGACCCGGGAGCGCGGCAGGCGGGGCGGGGCGCGGGCGCCGGAGGCTGCGGCGCGGAGCGGCTGCGGCGGCCCCGACCTTCCGCGTCCCGGGGCGGCGGCGGCGGCGGCGGCGGCGGCGGCGGCGGGCGGTGAGTGTGCGCGGCTCGGGGCGCGCGCCCGGTGGCTGCGCGGGCGCGGGCGGCTGCGAGCCCAGATTGGAGCGGCGGCGCGGCCGCCTGGGCGGCCCCTCCCGGCCTGGGGTCGGCGGCGCCGCGGCCGGGCCCTCGGTGCGCCTGGGGCCGCGATCCCGCGTGGGTCGGGCGTGGGAGCGGCTCTCGGGTGGGTCCTGGGGGCCCGGGGCCCGGGGCCGGGGGCGGGGATTTCCGGGGAGAAGGAGACTCCGGGCAGCAGGCCCCCGGACAGGACTTGAAGGCAGAGACTGGGGTGAGACAGCTGTCCAAGGCCAAGGCCAGGTGGGGTGGGACATCCCGGTCCGAAAGAACCCTCTATCGCTCAGACTCCGTCCTGGGCTGGCTGTTTGACCTTGGATAGTTCACTTTCATTTCTGGGTCTTAATTTCCTCATCTGCAAAATGGAGAGCTAGGACCTATTGTCTTTCAAGGCTTTTCCACCCTAAAACTTAAGTGTCAGGCCCTCTTATGGCCTTTTGTTGGGGTTTTCCAATTTAACAAAAACAAAACCTGATTTGTGAAAACTGTAAGCTGTTTCTCGCTCGCTCTCTCACACGTCCATCGCAGTGAGGCACACGGTTCCTGGGGAGACCGGGCATTCTGTCTCCAGAAATGGAGACCTTTGCTCAGGGGCTTAACGATATCTTCCTTTTCAGGGGCTCACCAGCTAATTAAGAAAGAAGCACGACTGGAAGTTCTGGTTAAAATGCAGAATCAGCAAAGGAAACTAAGGAAACCAGGGAGTGGATGACCAGTTAGTTGCAGGAGCCTCGGGGCTGTGTTCACTTGCTGGCTCCGTCTCCACCCTGGTGTCTGGCTCTGTCTCCCAAGTCCCCCTAGGGCTGGTGCAGGGCTGAGCACAATGGTGGGCTCAGGACACACTGGAAGGTGATGGGTCCACATCTGCCCAAGGCTGGTGTTGCCAACCCCCCTTCCACCCTCTGCAGCCTCCAGGTTGGACCAGGGGCTGCAGGGTGAGTGCAGAGGGCCGTCGCTGGGCCCATCCTGGCCTCTGGTCTGTACCTCTCTCTACTTGGCAGTCCTTCTCTCACCTCCACTTTTGCAAAGCCTTTCTCCCACATCAAGGTACTGCCCGCTCCCTCCGACTGCCTTGTTTGGTCATTGTCTCTTTTTTCTCTTTCTCTGAGTTCATCTTTCCCACCAGATGGGATCCCAGGCAGGGAGGGCTGACCAAGGACTTTAGATTTTATTTTTGGTGTTTGAGTTGAGAAAGCACAGGGCCTGACACTTCAAGGTTCTTAGGGAATGTTTGTGGAGTAAAAATAGTGACAGCTGTATTCCTTGGGCGATTCCTATTTGCCCAAGGATTTTTCATTCAAGAGCAAGCCCCTGAGACGTTTCTCGCCCCAGACCGCCTCATCCGCCGGGTGCCCCGCCCGTGTTAGACGTGAGTGCTCTGAGTGATGTACATGCGTGAACTCTTTTAGCCTCAGTTACGATATTATCACCCTTTACATGTAAAGAAACCGAGGCAGAGAGAGTTAAGTGACTTGCTCCAGGTGACACAGGTGGGAAATGGCAGGACTGGACTGGTACTTTTTAACCATTACTCCTTATTTCAGATGAATGAATGAATTCCGATTGAGACTTTGCAGGAGGCTAATTGGGCCAACTGGGGTGCTGGAATTTGTCCCCAAAGACACTAGTTGTGGGATTTTTGCAACCAAATGGAAACTTTCCGCAGGGGAAGGCTATCTGGGCAGCTCCAGCCTGGGGGTGGTCCCTCCTGCCTGGAGGAGGGGGTGTGGGCTCCTGGGTCCCACAGGCCTCTCTGACACACCAGTGCAGCTTCTCTGGCCTGCAGGCTGCTAGCTCTAACATCCCTGGGATGTCTGGGAAAAGTGAGTTTTCTTGTCTGGGAAATGGGCCCAAGGATTATATTTGCCTCGCGGGCCCTGGAGGTGAACAGAGGAGGCGGGGAAGGGCTTCTGAGATGGTTGAGATTGTCAAGTGCAGGGCCGACTTCCTCAGGCTGTTGTTGAGCTTTTATACCTCTTGAGGGGGGTGCAGGCTACGAGGAAGGAAGTAAGGGGTGGTGCAGTTGACTGGTTAATGTTCAGCAGTATTTGGGAATGCCTGCTGTGGGCAGGCCTCAGGCTAGGGGAAGGGGAAGATGGAATGTCAGAAACCAGCAGGAGTTTGCTGTGCAGGCACCCCGACCCACCCTTTTTTTTCTTTTCTTTTTTTAGGGTGGATTAAAGAACAGGCTCAGAGACCTGGGTCCGGAGGCTCAGGGCCTAGGAATTATGGGCTTGGACTCTGGAGCCAGATGGCCTGGGTTCCCCTCTTGGCCCTCTGGCTTCCAGCCACCCCACCGTGGGCAGGTTTCTTTACGTCTTTGCCTCTCCGTTTTCTCTCCTTCTGAGGCAAGAGGCCTGTTGGGTGAGCAGGGTACTGGACGTCAACCCTGTGTCTCCTTCCATTGTCCCTGGGGCATCTGTGCTAGGTGGGGTTCCCTGAAGCCATTTTATAGATGAGGACAGCAAGGCTCAGGGAGTGAAGTACCTTGCCACAGAGCATGTGACGGGGCTGAGCAGGGATTCAGAATCCAGGCTCTCTGGTGTTCAAGTCCTTGCTTTTTCATAACATTTTGTTGCTTTCTGGCCCCAGAGCCGGGTACAGGGCTGGTGTGTGATACTTGGTAGCCATCGGCTCATTTTTGTATATTCTTGGTTGGTGGAGGGGGCTCCCAAGTGATCTTCTGGAGCTTACCTCACAGCTGGCTCCAGGTGCCTGCAGCCTGATCCGTCACACAGGCTCCCCACTTAGAAAGCCACCCCCTCACCTGGTGGAATGCTCTGCTGTCACCGTCTTGAATTTCTTCGTCATTTTTGAACAAGGGACCCCCACATTTTCATTATGCACCGGGCCCCACAGATGATGCAGCCGGTCCTTTTTAAAAGACTGAGAGAAATGGAGGGCGGTGGGGGTATGGGAGTCAGGCTTGTTAGGGGACCTGCGCCATGGCGGTCAGCCCCCAGGCCAGCTTGGAACCAAGCAGACGTGGGCCAACCGGACGCTTGTTTTCAACCAGCATCAGGAACCATGGCAGCAAAACCCAGTTCTACTGGACTTTTCACCAAGCGGGTAGCCAGGCCAGTGTGTCATCCCAGGGACTCAGGCATGGTCTTCCTTGGCGATGGGTGATTTGTCAGGGCCCCAAGTGGACACATAACAGAAAGAATGAGTGTGCAGGCTCCAGCCAGAGAGTGTGGCGCCGGAGACTCTGCTTTGGCATCAAGAGAATCCCCATGAAGGACATTTCTGCTTTACGGACGAAAGTGTCTTAGGGTCATGATCTTGCCCACTGTGTTGTCACTGACCCAGCTCCCAGGGCTTTGGAAAAAGCATTTCTGAGACCTTTGGGAGCTAGGTGCCAGGAAGATGCATTGCTTTCCTCACTGTCCTGTTTCTGACCTCCTTGTAGATAACAGGAACTGCCTGCGACTGCTTCACCGGCAGTATTTCTCTTTTAGCTTTGGCCGCCGGGAAGCTCAAAACCAAATTGTTGGCTCAGGCATGGCAACCGTGCCAAACCCCGAAACAACAACAGTGAGAGCTGTATTTGTGGGGTGCCTCCTTTGTTCCAGATGCCCTTGTCTGTGCTTTATATAGATCCTGCCACCGATTCTTTTGTAGCAGCCTGGTGGGGAAGACACCACTGTTTGAGGATAGGGAGCTAAATCTCTTGGAGGCTAAAGCACTTGCCCAGGTTTATGTAACGAGTAGGTAGTAGAAGTGTTGTTTACAGTAATAGCTCATGTTCTTCAGCACAGACTTCCGCTGCTTCTGCTAGGGACTCTGATTGCCTGAATATCTGGGTATTTTTGTTCTTCGTGGTTGTTGTTATTACTCTTATTTTTTGTAATCTGTATTTCCCCCCATCCTGATTTTTTTTTTTTTTTCCATTTGTATTTTGTAATGTCTTCTGGGAAGCTATTTGAGATCCTTTGCATAAACAAGGCTTCCCATGATGGGTATACTGGTCCTGCGTCTGGTTGCCTGGGGTGCCTGGGCTGCTGTCAGTAAGGGAACAGAAATCCCAGATGCCTGGGAGCAGGGCCTGCTCACTTCTTGAGTTCCCGGTGAGTGCCTGGATGTGTCTGAGCTGGAGAAGACCCAAGACCAGAGGGAAGTTCTCAGTTCTCCCCTGGAGGAGGGTTTTATTTCTTCTTCACTCCTAAGAATGCCCCTCAGTATGACTGGAAAGAGCCAAGTCAGTAGAAGGACTCTCGGTGGCTCTCTCTGGCCTTGGGATGACTTTGGCCTTGGAGGAGCCAAGGAACCCAGCCTGCCCAGGCCTGAAGTTCTTTCTTGTGCTGTTTTCTGAAGGCAAGCGAAGCGGCATTGGCTGCTCCAGAATGAATCACAGCTCCAAGAAGGGGAAGTAGAGCCCAGCTGGCACTCGGCTATGGCCTGTGAACCACCAATGGGCCCCAGCGGGGCAGCCAGCCCACTGCCCACCTCCTCCCCGGGTTGGAGCGCCTTGCCTGGAGGGAGTCCTCCAGGCTGGGGGCAAGGTAAGGTCATGACTCTTTTTTCCCCCTTCCCCTCTCCCCAGGATGCGGAGCTGGACTCACATAGCACAATGGAAGGAGGGGGGGCGTGGAGGGCACAGAAGGGCCTTTATCTAGGGGTGGGCATTTTGGGATACATTTACAGTCCAGTCTGTCATTTCTATCCATTCTCTCTATCCCCATCTTGTAGACCAAGTCTCTGTCACCTTCTGCTTGGACCTCTGCCGCCCTATCTTCCTAGCTGAACTCTCCTCCTTGCCTCTTCCATTTATATGGCATGTAGGGAGAGCTTTTAAAAATGCAGAACAGACCATGTCACTTTCTGCTTCAGTGTTTCCCATGGGACTTAATGTGAAGATCTTTCCATCACCAGCTTGCAAGGCCTGCCTTAGTGGTTCCTGCTGCCCCTGTTCTCCGTTCCTGGCATGCTGTCCTGCCTCAGGGCCTTTGCATCTGCTGTTTCTTCTGCTTGTTATGCTCTTGCCTTGCCTTCTTACCTCTGATTAATTTCTAGTCCTGCTTCAGAGCTCAGTTCAGATATCCCTTCCGTGGGGAATCCTAAGTCAGGACTCCCTGATATATTCCTGCTTCTCCCCACAGCACTTATCCTAGTCTATAATTAAATAATGACCTGTGTCATAAAGTGATGAATGTCCAGCTTCCCCACTAGAATGTCAGCTCCATGAGGGCAGGGGCTCTGTGTTGCCTTGTTCATCCCTGCATCTGCAGTATCTAGCACAGGCTTGGCCCATAGTAGACACTTACTGAGTGAACAGAATGAATGGGCGGCTCGGGGTAGGCATTTTGAATTGTGGCTGGTTACTTAGATGATTTGAAACTTGACTATTACTAAACTAAAAGGGTTTCTTTTACTACTACTGGTATTGGGAAAGCAGTTTACACACTCACACACGCGCACATGCACACACACGTGTGCACGCACACGTACACACCATTAGAATAAAATGGGATGAAATAATTTTTCTTTAGAACTTTGAAGACATTGCCCCACTGGTTTTTGGCAAGCCAGTTCTTGCTCCTTTGTAGGAAATTGCTCCCTGCCACACACACACACACACACACACACACACACACACGCATACACACTTGTGTGCGTTCCCACTTCTTTGGTAGCTTTTCAAGCTCTTTTTCTTATCTAGTTGTAAAAAAAGTATCTCTAAGTGGAGACTTGCTGTTCCCACTCTAAGGAACAGATGAGAGAGATTATTGCCAAGAATCCAGGAACTTGGTTTGAAAGGCAAACAAAGACACCTCAAAAAATCTTGGCGTTGCTAGAGCAAAGCATTTTCCTCGGGGTGCAAAGAGCCAGTCTAGGGGAGCAGTTGATGTTCCGCAGGCCTGGTGCCCCGGTCCACGTGGGTCTTGTGTTCTGTGCCGTGAAATGCAGAGCTAATCTGTGGCCCCGCCTGGCCTGCCTGCCTGCCTTTTGGGCACTGCCTTGGCTCCAGCTGCTTCTCTTTCTTACTTTCATTTCCCCTGGTAGCTTTGGGCAGGCCTGTTTGCCTTTCAGAGGCTCTGTTCCCTTTTCCATGATAATGGTGTCCATCTCTGAGGGCTCTCAGAGGCTGAAATGCGATTGAGACCTTGAAGCCCAAGCTCCCTGCCTCATGCCTTGTGAGGGCTCAACACCTGGAAGCTAGTCTTATTTTACCTGATTCTGTCTTCTTTCTGCCTTTATTTTCTTCTTGTCCAGCTTCTCTCATTTGCTTATTTTTAAATCTAATTTTATCTTTTCCTGTTTTACTTTATGAAGTGACCTTAAATCCTTCCTGGAGCAGGTGTAGGAAGGTAAGAACAAATACGACTAAATCCATGCGCGTGGATTGCTTTATTGCAACTTTTGAGTCCTGACAAGCTTGCTTTTAAATTGGCAACAATAGTGGCTAGTTATGTTGTGCCAAGCCTTTATTTTCATCCTCTTATTTCTCTGTAAAGTCCTCTGTGGCGGATATGATCCCCCTCCAAGTGAGGAATCCGGCCAGGGATTCAGGTCACTTCTTCAAGGCTCCTCTGTGAGCGAGAGGCTGGGCTACACTTCGAATCCTGAAGCTCTCTAGCGTGTGCTTTCCCTGCCTTGCCACCTTGCCTCCATACCCCTCACCTCTTGCAAAGACCTTAAAAAAAAAAAAAAAAAAGAGGAAAGCAAATAAAGTTCTTTTTGGCAGGGGGTCGAATGCTCTGTCATTCGAGCTCATAGGCGATACCCCAGGGCATTAAAAAAAGAACCCTATTGGGGTTGGGGACCAGAGTTCTGTCCTATCAATTCATTTATACATCAAACATTTATTTAGTGCCTACTGTATGCAAGTACTGAACCCAGCTCAGGGGATTGGTGATGAACAGAACCAGTATGGGAGTACATAGTCTGGTGTGGAAGATAGGCTTTAATCAACCTAATTAAATACATATGTAAGCAAATAGTTGCAAATACATGTATTTATTCTTGATGAGAAGAGCAGTTCTGAGTAGGTTTAGCAGGAGTTGATCTGTTAAGGTATAGTGTCAGGGAAGACTCCCTGAGGAAGTGGTTAATGAGTTGGGATACCCTTGATGAGTAGGGTTTAACTATGTGAAGTCCAGTGGAAGTGTTCTAGGGAAAGGGAACAGCATATGCAAAGGCCCTGGGGTGGGAGAGAACGCCACATGTTCCAAGAACAAAGGAGGCTGCTGTGGCCAGACACAGCACTGAATGGCCCGAGGTGAGTTTAGCAGGAGGCTGGTTCTAAGGGCTGGGAGAGTGGTAAGGAGGTTGGTTTTTGTCAGTAGAGCACCAAAAAGCTATTGAAAGTTTTACTCAGAGGATCGATGTCCTCCAGTTTGTGTGCTGGCTGTTGTGTGGAGAGTGCATTGTAGGTGGGAGGAGTAGGTATGGAGACGCCAATGAGGAGGCCGCCACAAGGTCACGACGGAGAGTGAAGGTCTGGCCCAGTCTTGCGGAGGACATGCAAAGAGGTGCGTGGAATTGAGAGATGTTCTGTTGGCCCAGTTGACAGGGCCCAGAGAGGGGGTGCGTGAAGGGATAGAGAGAGTGGGTGGGCCAGGAATTTCCAGGCAGGTAGGACTAGGCATTTTGCTTTAAAGACTCAGGTATTGCCCAGAGCTAGCCTCTGAGGGGACAGGTTTGGGCCAGCAGATAACATACTGATGGTTTGATCTCTTCCGTGCTGCTTTATCTTCTGAGCCGTGCCCACAGAAAATGTGCCAGCATACCATTCCCCAGCCTTGCATGGCCAAACACCGGCATCCCCCAGCCCCGTGCCTGCTGACCTGACCTGTGGCTCATGGGGCCTCATGCTTTGGTGGAAGGAGATCTCGATCCTTCTGTCCAGAGTCTCTCTACTCAGATCAGAAGGTAGATGCAGTTTCATTCCGTGGCTGGTCCTCCCTGGGCCTGAGGGGCTTTCAGTCCAGAGCTTTCACCCCAGCTGGCCTCACTGGTCTGGCCTCCTTGCCACCTGTGGCCTCCTCGTGGTCCTGTGGGGAGAGTTTTGATAGCTGTTGTGACCAGGCTGGGTTGATGCGGAGTGTTTGTTGAGGTTCGACTTAATTCAGTTAGTGCTTTTGAAATGTTGAGTGAGTTGCAGATACCCTGGGGACGGGGTTACCAGTAAATCCGTGTATTAGGGGGTGCCTGGGTGGCTCAGTTGGTTAAGTGTCTGTCTTCGGCTCAGGTCATGATCCCAGGGTCCTGGGATCTAGTCCCGCATCGGACGCCCTGCTCAGCGGGGAGCCTGCTTCTCCCTCTGCCTGCCGCTCCCCCTGCTTGTGCTCTCTCTTTCTCTCTGACAAATAAATAAAATCTTTAGGAAAAAAAGAATCAGCGTATTAGTTTTCTGTAGCTGCTGTAACAAATTGCCCCCCACAGAGGGCTCGCAAAACACAAATCCATCTTCTTCTAGTTCTGGAGGTTCGAAGTGTGGACTGAGCTATAGCCCTGTGTCAGCTTGTCAGCCAGGCTGCTTTCCTGCAGGAGCCTGGGGAGAGTCTGTTTCCTTTTCCAGCTTCCAGAGGCCGCACACGCTCCTCGGCTCGTGAACCTTCCTCCATTTCCAAAGGCAGCCACGTTCCAGCTCTGTGCTTCTCTTCTCCCCATCACGTCGCTCCCAACATTTTTAAAGACCCTTGTGATTACATCGGGCCCACCCAGACAATCCAGGAGAATCTCCCTATTTCAGGCCAGCTGATTGGAAACCTTAATTCCATCTATACCCTTAGTTCTCCTTGCTGTGTAAGGTAACCTATTCGCAGGCTCTGGGGAGTACAGCGAGGACATCTTTGGGGGTTCATTGTTCTGCCTACCCCAGTCACACTGAGCCCACTGTGAGTGTAATATGTAGGTGAGCTTCCTTTGCGGTGATCATACAAATGTCTGATACATCACCTTTTCCATGTAGTTGTTGTTCAGTCTCTGTTTAAGTCTCTTTTGTGATGGGGAGCTCGCTTCCTCCAGTTCTTTGTTGGCTCTCATTCTTGGCAAGTTCTTCCTTCTCTGGTCTTGCCTTGTGCCCAGATCGCCTCCACGTTCTGGTCCCAATTTTGCCTCCGCAGGGGCTTCTTGACAAGTTCAGTGCTTCTGGCATAGGGATTCGAAGTCCCTCCTTGCCATGAGTAAGGGTCTCACGGCCAGAGGAGGTGATGCCAGCAGGCTCTGGGCTCGTCCACGGTAATTCTCACCCAGCCAGCTGAAGCTTCCGGTCTGTTTTCAGAGCTCCGCAATGGCCAGGTGCTCACGGTTCTCCGGATCGACAATACCTGTGCACCCATCTCCTTCGATCTGGGCGCCGTGGAGGAGCAACTGCAGACATGGGGCATTCAGGTGAGTGCTCATTTTATTGCGACCCTCTGCCATTTTTTCCTTCCTTCCATCCACCCGCCTGTCTGCCCATCCATCTATCCTTTCATCCAGTTGTTCACAAAATATTCGTTCAACATGGACTCTGTGCTCCGTGGGGTGGGGCAGGTAAGGAGGATGTATGGGAAGTGTCCCCTCCTCCCAGTTACTTCACTTAACAGATAGGTGTTTTGGGGTGCCCATCCTTTGCCAGGCGCTGAGCTGGGCGCTAGGTACCACGGCGGTGACCGGGACCCAGCGCCTGGGCTCATACTGCTCATAGAGCCCAGTGCAGGAGATGGACTCACGCCAGGTACGGCAGGACAGCAGGATCTCAACACCGCGGTAGCGGACCGTATGAGGTGCTGAAGCCATTCACAGGAGAAAATGATGAACTCTCCTGGGGAAGCAGTGGTTAGGAAAGCGTCACGGAGGGGCAGATACTTGATCTGGGGTCTTGAAGGAAAAGTAGGAGTTTGCTGGGTAGACAGGAGGAAGGGCATTTCAGAAGAGGGAACTGTATACTCAAAGGGAAGGTGCCTGGATTCATTAGATGGTAATGCAGTGCTTTCAAGCATAGTGATTTGAGGCATAGGCTTCTCAGACCCGTAGGTCTGGGTGCAGATCCAGCTCTGCTGCTTCCTGCCTGCGTGACTTTCTGCAGGTGACTTAACCTCTCTGAGCGGCGGTTCCATCCTTTATAAAATGAGGGCAATGTTCATACCTATTACCTGGGGTTTTTGTGAGAGGAAGTGAAATAGTGCTTGAGAAATAGTTGCACTCTGTCTGGCACATAGTACATGTTCTATACATTGTAGGTGTCGCTGTTGTTACAAAGTAGCCATAGCTGTGGCGGTCTCTGTTCCCGAAGCCCCCAGCGTCACCAGGCCCTCCCCTGCACCACCTAGGGAGGACCAGTTATGGAGGGGAAAGACACAGAGCTAATTTTACCCTGATTTTAGAGTTTACTTCTTTCGAACGGAATTGTGTTCCTGTTTCAATCAACATCTTATCATTCAAAGGGAAACTTCTCAAATTGACGGTACTAAGCCCACACCAGCAACAGTGGCTGGTTTATCATCCAGTTTATCATCCAGCCTTTGTCCAAAAGAACATTTTTCTTAAACTGTTATCTGCAGATGGGGTTTCCCTAACCAGGGAACAATTTACATAATATTCTACCATATTCCTAAATATCCTCTTTAATGGTTAAATTCTATTTTTTTTTAAAGATTTTATTTATTTATTTGATAGAGCACGAATAGGCAGAGCAGGAGACAGAGGGAGATGGAGAAGCAGACTCCCCGCTGCTGGGAGGGAGCCTGATGTGGGGCTCGATCCCAGGACTCTGGAATCATGACCTGAGCCCCGAAGGCAGACACTTAATGGACTGAGCCACCCAGGCACCCCTAAATTCTATTTTCCTAAGCAGTCCACTCTTGTAGGGCTTTTGTATGCTATGCCATTTTTTCTGGGGCTGGGGGGGCAGGAAGGTGCCAGTTTTCAGTACCTTGAGCTGTATACACACATCTGTCAAAGTAACACATAACCACTGGAGTAGGCAGAACAAAGGTCCCCTCCAAATGTCCATATGTATGTACATGTTATACGTACACTTATTTAATAATATACATGTTACAATTGTATATGTGGGGGGGCGCCTGGGTGGCTCAGTTGTTAGGTGTCTGCCTTCGGCTCAGGTCATGATCCCTGGGGTCCTGGGATCGAGCCCCGCATCGGGCTCCCTGCTCTGCGGGAAGCCTGCTTCTCCTTCTCCCACTTCCCCTGCTTGTGTTCCCTCTCTCGCTCTGTCAAATAAATAAATAAAATCTTTAAAACAAACAAACAAACAAACAAACAAAAAACAATTGTATATGTGGTACGGTAATTAATATGCAAGCCACCCCTTGCATTGCAAGGGAGGTATACTTATGGTCCTCGTTTTGCAGAGGAGGAGCCTAAGGCTCAGAGAAGTGGGGTTCCTTGCTCCAGGTCACATGGCCCATGAATAGAAGGGCCAAGGTTCGGACCCAGGCTCCTGACTCTAGGGCCTGAGCCTTAACCGTTAGGCTGTCATGGGTCTGCCGTGAGGCCCTGAGCCTGGGGCTGTAGGATCCCCCCCGGGGCTGTCCTGCTGGATCTCGAGTTGTCCCACCTCCCCCATGGTGCCCAGCCTTCCCTGATCTGAGGGCTACATCCTGTGATCCCCAGTCTGAGTGCTCTGAGCTCTTCATTCTGCCTCCCGGGGCAGCCTGGATGGTGCCTGATCCCCCTTCCACCTGATAGTCACATGAACTGGAAATGACTTGCTTGCGTGCAGGAAGGAGGTGGGCGTGGTTCCCCATGGCTGATTGGTCTCTTTTCCTTGCACGGCCAAGCAGGTCCCTGCCGACCAGTACAGGAGCTTGGCCGAAAGCGCCCTATTGGAGCCCCAAGTGAGAAGATACATCATCTACAACTCCAGGCCCATGCGGCTGGCCTTTGCTGTGGTAAGGGGCGGGGGGCGCCGCGCTAACCCTGGCCCTGCTGCGGCCCCCTGTGGCGTGGCTGAATTTGGCGCTGTGTTCCCGAGCCTGTCCGTGTGGGTAAGGGGTTTGGGGCTGGTGGTCCAGCTGCCTGGGATGGAGCAGTACACACGGACCTGGATGTGGTGTGAGGAAATCAATGGGAGAGAGTCGTAACCAGATCCCCAGGTAAAGGATGAGAGGCCGAATTTACTTACTAAGGACAGAGCTTGGGTTTGGAAATCTGAGGACCCATCATTGTGACTTTGGACTCAATGTCTGGCTTTGGTTAAGACTTGTCTTCTTCCTGGGACTTGGTTCCCCCATCTGTTCAACAGATAGGTCCATTTCAGCTCTGATCATACCTACATGAGTGTGTATAAACATCTATGTGTATGTGCATATATATATATACATATATATACACACACACATGAAGACACAGACATATGAACATCCATATCCACCTATGTATATACATACAGACACATACACATACATATATAGGTACAAATAGCAGAGCCAGTATTTGAACCCAGGCAATCTGGTTTCAGCATCTGTGCTCTTAACCACTCTGATCTGCCACTTCTCTGTACGTACACATGGCCCAGTAGCACTCTTTACTCCCAAGGCCGCTGCTAGAGAAGGCTAAGGAATGGCTACTGGCATTTGGTAATTCTCTAACAAGTGCTAGGCTGTTACACACATTGTCTGATTAACCCTTATAACAACCTGTGAAGCAGGTGTTATCCCCATTTCACAGATGAGGAAATTGAGGCTCAGAGCATTGTTAATAACTTGTCCAAGGCCACACATAGCTGTTGAAGGATCAGTGTGGGTTTCTGACTCAAATTTCTCTCACTCCCGGGACCCCCTGCCCTCCTTCTGCTTTATTTCAAGTCAGGGTAAGCAAGGATTCAGAGGAGCTCTCCTGACCCCTTTCCTCTACTGTTGCTTGTGGACAAGGAACAAGGGCTCCTCCTCACAGACCCCGATCATCCCTTCCTGGCCCTGTGAGCTCTTGGTCTCCAAGGAGGGCGTCGGATGTGTCCGAAGCGTGTCTCCCTTTGAATGGAGTGGCTTCGTTCGAGCGCCGGTATTCCTGATCGTGCTCTCTCTCCGGTTTCTCGCAGGTTTTCTATGTGGTGGTCTGGGCCAACATCTACTCCACCAGCCAGATGTTTGCCCTGGGGAACCACTGGGTGGGTGTGCTGCTTGTGACCCTGGCCGCCATGAGCCTGACCCTGACCCTCGTGCTCATCTTCGAGAGACACCAGAGGAAGGTGAGTTGTCCGGAGACCCCAGCCGTGCTCCCTCCAGAAAGGGTGCGCTGGCGGGAGAATCCCAATTCTGATCTTTCTCTTTTCCCTGCCCCAGGGAATTTCTCCGACCATGAAAATTCATGTGGGCCCTTGGGCCCAGTGACTAAAAGAAATGAAATCACATGTGTGATTAATTCCTCTCTGTTTTCTTTGTCTAATCCCTGGGGGTTGTTTTTCTGGAAGCAAGCTGTGTTTCGAGAGTGTCTGGGGCGGGGAGAGGAGGGCATGTTGGGTTTACTGAGCCCTTTCACGCTAAGAAGGGCCGAGCTGGGATTCAAGGCCAGGGCACTCAGATCCCAGGCCTTGTTCTCAGTCAATATCCTACTGCATTGGCGGTCTGCAGATGGTGGCCGTCCCCGGTGACCAGAAACATGGTGGCTTAAAACAATGCAATGTATTATCTTAGAGTTCTGTACTTCAGGGCTGCGTCCTTTCTGGAACCTCTAGGGGAGAATGTATTTCCTGCGTCTTCCAGCTCCTGGAGTACCCCCTCCAGTCTCTGGCTAATGACTCCTTTGTCTGTCTTCAAAGCCAAAAATGGCAGGTCTAGTTCTTCTCACATCTTTGACTCTGAGTCTTTTGGCTCCTTCTTCCACTTTTGAGGCCTCTTGTGATTACTTTGAGCTGTCAGGATTATCTGGGACAAACTCCCTTTTTTTAAGGTCAGCTAATTAGCAACGTTAATTCTACCTACCACCTTAATTTCCTGGCACAGACTTGGACTCGGAGATCCGTTCTTGCCTGACTCGGGAGGAGAGGGATGCTGGGAAATGTGGTCGGAGTTTGGGGTATGAATTCCGTTTAGTTCCTATGCTCACAGGGACAGCTAGGAACTTTATGAGTTAATCATCCTGAAAAGATCTTTGTTGGGCTTTGCGACAAGGCTGACGAAATGATGCTGCCCTTGGGCTCCGTGGAAGCTTTCATGGCTCTTGTGCTTGGCATATAAAAAATAAAATAAACTGGCTGCCCCTGCAGCGAGAAACTTCTCTTGGCGAGGGGAAAAAGCAAAGTATCCTGCCTTAGCAAGAGCAAGGGAAATACCTGGCACCTGTCAGGGCCTTCAAGGATGCAGATGTAAGGAACGCAGTTCAGGGAATGCCCATGGTGGCCGTCCGCCCTCTTCTTTGCCTTCCTTGCTCGGCTGGTATTCATGGCACAGAGATGAAGAAGACCCTGTGTCTTTACTCATAGGTGCAACATGGAGGCCCTGGGTATGCAGTGGCCCTCTTGTCATCAGTGTTTGCTCATTCAGGGAACCTGAGGTTCTTTCACTCCTAATAATGACCACCATTTAATGAGCACCTACTATGTGCCTTTGGCACCTGCCGCCTATGACCACCAACCAGACAAGGAGGCAGAATACCTCTGCCGTTGGCTAGCTCTGCAAGCTGGGTAAGGTGTTACTTCACCCCTCAGGGCCTCAGTTTCCTCGTCTGTAAAATGGGATAGTAATCGTAGCTCCCACAGGGCGCCTGACTGGCTCAGTCGGTAGAGCGTGCGACTCTTGATCTCATGGTTGTGAGTTCAAGCCCCACTTTGGGCATAGAGCTTACATTAAAAAAAAAAGGAGCACCCTCATAAGATTATTGGGAGAATTAAATGACTTAATACGTGCAAAGTACTTATAATAGTACCTGGTGTAATGTAAATACTCAATAAGTATGAACTGTTAGGATTATTGACTCTGTTTGCCAGTGGGGATGCCACAGCTCAGAGAGGTTAAGTAACCAGTCTGTGGTCACACAGGCTCCTGGGGTCTTGCCTCAGCTCAAGGATTTCTTCCTGCTTGGATCCCTCATCACTTGAACCTTGCAGCGCTCCCTTCCTGACCACCATTGTCCCTCCTCCTGTCCTACTTGGACCGTAGCATCCTTGAGAGCCTGAGCATTTTGCACGCACTGCCTTGTTTTCCCCCTTGTTCGGGGCGTCATTAGCCCTCCTCAGGATTGGAAGGTGTGTGAAGGCATGCGAGACCCTGCCTTGTATCACAGACGGAGTAAAAGCATGTTGCTAAAGCATCTGGGAAGTTCCTAAAAATACTCGTTTGTGGCCAACAAGATACAGGGGAAAAAGATATTTTTGACTCAGTATCCATCGAACTGATGTCATGAGCTGACGGGCGTTGTGTGTTCGTTCTTCTAGGTGTTCTACGCGGGTTGGCTCATTTCATAGAATGAGGGTGTTTTTCAGAGATGAGACGGAGATGGAGAGGTGGGGGTAATTTGGCCAAGGTTATCAGGCAGTGAGAGGCAGAGCCTGGGTCTGAACTCCCCGAGGCGCAGGTTTCGGAAAGGGTGTGCAGCCCTTGCTAAGGCTCCAGGCTAAACAAAATGTACTCACCCCATGTTTTCATATTTGTGGCATCCCTGGAAAATTCACTATATTTTAGACCCATTTAAAAAATAAAAAAACACTTTAGGTTTCCATGTCAAATGGACCTGGTTTGGCCGCTCAGAACCGAGAGTAGATTTTTCACCTGTGTTCACGCCCGGTGAGGAGCGTGGAGTCTGGGTAGGGTAGGAGACTGCTCTTCCGAGTGCGGGATCGTCTCTCAGGGGACACAGCCTTCAGTGGAAGGCATCCCTGGTCCCTGTCCCTAAGTGCCAACATTGCCTGTCCCATCCCTGTGACAACCACAGGGCCTTCTTGCAATTCTCAAAAGCTCCCTGCAGGAGTCCTGCCCTCCTGGGGACCTTGATTGTCCTTGATGGGGTTGTCGTCTAGTTGCGTCTCTAAATCCTTATGGGGTCTCCCAAACCAGCACTTTGGGTCCTGACACCCTTCCTCCTCCTCCTCCTCCCTCCTCCCCTCCCTGGCCTGCTTAGTTAGCATCTACTTAGTCAACTAGATCCATGGTGTCTGGTTGGTTTGGGTAGGAAAGAAGGGAGATGGATTCCCAGAATCTCCTTCCGAGGGCCAGGCACTGTGCCTGGGGCTTTGGAAAGTAGGTGCTTTATTTACACAATAAGCAGCTCTCAAACCTGTCCACCCCCTCCCTCCTCCTGCAGATATCTCTGTCAGCACACCAGACTGTTTCTGGGCACTGGTTAAGAGCACACGCATAGTCATGTTCAAGCTCACCATGTTCCTCGGAGGCAGGGACACCCTGACACTCTTTCTCCTTATTCTACAACTGAAGAAAGCAAGACTCGGGGAAGGAGCGTAACTTGTCCAGGGCCACACAGCTAGGATGTAGTGGGGCTGGGCTTCAACCCAGGGCTGTCTGACACTATTGAATTTATTGTCCTCCAAACCCTGCAATCCCATTTTAGGGGTGGGGGCGATGGATATGTCTCAAAGGCCAGGATTGCCCCATGGCGTCTGGAGGCGGGACAGTGTGTGGGTATTGCTCAGGGCCCAGGAGCTCCCTGGCAGCGTGGCGATCTGGCCACGAGCCTGGTGTTTGTCTTACAGGCCAACAGCAACACAGACCTTAGGCTGGCGGCTGCCAACGGAGCCCTCCTGAGACACCGGGTGCTGCTGGGGGTGACGGACACGGTGGAAGGCTGTCAGAGCGTGATTCAGGTACTGTGTCTGGGAGTGACCTCGGCTTGGGTGCCTGCATTATGGCTGGGTTGATGGGGAGAGGGGGCCCCAGCATCCCCCGGTCTGCATAGTGTCTTGGAGTCTGCTAATGAGACAAGCGTGGGCAGCCCTTCCCTTTCTCCCTGCTCCAGCGCTTCTTCCCGGAGACCCATCTCTGGGTGGTGACCCGCAGCCTGGAAGCTGCACGGGGCAGGGCTGGAAGGGAGCTCGGAGACCGTCTAAGCCACGCTCCTCATTCAGCATTTATCCCGCAAACAGAGGGGGCCTCCTCTGTGCCAGACCCTTTGATGGGCACTCAGGGGCCCACACAAGGTTCCTGGAGTGGCACATCAGACCCTGAGGCTTTGTCCACCTGGCTCGGTCATTTTCTTTGTTCCAAGTGCACAGGGGGTCAGGCAGACAATGGGAGAGACTAGTCGGCAAGAGGGTTGCTACCCTGGGTCTCATGGGTCAGTCACTGGGAGGAGGGAGGTCTGGGATCCAGAGGAAGTGGTCGGTCGCTGGAGGCATGAGGTGTGGGCCACCAGTTTCTCACAGAACTTCAGTTGTGATGTGAGGCAGGTGTGGACCCAACCAGATGTAATGAGTGTACGTGGAGGGTGTCGGCCTGGCTGCGTTTCACCTGACCTTCTGGGGACTGTTGAGGTTGAGGAGGAAGGGGAGGTAAAGGTGGGGTGAACATTTACCCGGTTCCCCTTCTCCCAGAGCACCCAAGTTGGATCTCCTCCCGCCTGGCCTTGGGCAGTGGTGGTGAATGACTGGAGGGTTTCACTCATCTGCCTGTGGGGCTCCAGACAGCAGGGCACCCCAGCCCCTGAGGATGAAGGTGGTAGCCCCAGATGCATACATGATGTCCAGGATGGTTTGGAATGCTCAGTGACTTGGAGCAAATGGAGCTGAGGCCATTTTGAACAGGGTTGGACATTTTCCAAATGTGCACACAAAGCCATTTTTCTCCCATCTGTACAAAGGACTCTCTGCTATGTATGAGGACTCTGGGAGAGAGCAGAGAGGCACGGTCCCACCAGAGACCGGGCATAAATTTGCTCATCCCCAGAAGGGCAGACCTCCGGCAAGGAGGAGGCAGGAGGCGGAAGGTAGTCAGCGACGGGGAGTTCAATGTCGGGCTGGCTTTGAGCATCCGCTGTCATGGCTTCTCTCCCCAGCTCTGGTTTGTCTACTTCAACCTCGAGGACTGTGTGCAGTTTTTGTGTGACCACATTCGAGAGATGAAGATGAGCCAAGAGGTAAGATACCATAAGCGAAAAAACAAACAAAAATAAACCAGAAGGCCAAATTGTACAGACTGTATTTCCTTAAGGTTGGAAAAATGTCTAAGGAAACGTTACTTGGAAGGAAGAATGCCTACCTGGAATCAGTGGTTGTTTCTGCCTAGGGAATTGTTACTTCTGAGCAAGATTTCAGTTAGTGTCCTTTTCAACTAATTGCATTTTCCACATTTCCTGATAACATAACAATTATATTAACAATTAATAGTAGTAATATGATTCTGGCAGAGGGAAGTAGGGTATTTAGACAACTTTCACTTCTTTGAAATGCCTTCCTTCCATTTGTGATCAGGGTGCTCTTGCTCTGATCCCATACACAAGGACACTGAGCCTCTGAGAAGTCCGGTGGCCCCCCAAAGGCATCCACGGGGCCGGTTGGTGATGCCAGGTTTGGAGTGCAATCCTCCTGTCTCTGAGCCCTCGGCTCCTTCCTTGGGATCAGCCTTTCCCTGGGCCCTGTAAGTGCTGTCATGGATCTTGAGGTCAGGATTGTGGTTTAGCCCAATCCCAGCCCATTCATCCCTGTATGGCTTTGGGCAAGGCCTTTGAGCTCTGCTTTGCTCACCTGCAAGGTATATATTAAGATACCCATGACCCAGGCCGCTTTGAAGAACAAATGAGAACGTGGAAGGAAAAGTGTTTTGGAAGCTCTTAGAGACTGTAGGGAATTTTGTAGGCAATTATCTGACCTCTCGAATGTGGCTGAGTTCCAGATTCTCCTGAGGTAAGCATCTGAGTCTGTAGATGGATCCATCAGTCCTTTGTGAGTCTACAGCGTCGGGAGTGACTCAGCCTCTGACATACCACCCAACTTGGGACACCATCCACATCTCCTCTCTCTTTCTTTTGTAGTCCTTGCTGCGAAGCAGATTGAGCCAGCTGTGTGTTGTCATGGAAACCGGGGTGAACCCCGAGACAGAGGAGGGGCCCGAGAACCTGTTGGAGGAAGCTCCTCTCCTGCCCAGCAGCCCTCATCCTGAGGAGAGGCCACTCATGCAGACTGAACTTCGCCAGCTTGTTCCTGAGGCTGAGCCGGAGGTAAGGGGCACCTGGGCTGTTCAGGGCCACCTTTCCTCCAGGACATTTGTGTGGAGTCCACGTGGGGCCTCAAGTTATAAATCCCAGGGAACATGACTTCATGGAGTTGGTAGAGGCTGTGCAAATCTTCTAGCCTACTAGTTTTTAATTATTTTTTTTCCTTACTCTAGCACTTTAAAAAATAGTTTATAGGAATCATTTTCGACTTTCTGGTTTTTTCCTCCATCTTTAAATATCTTGGATATTCTTTTTTGGTAGTTCCATGGGATATCTAGTTGCATGTTGATGGGTCGTGGCCTACATAGCCATAAACATGATCATGAATATTTGGGTCATTTTTAAAATCTATTTTGCAATCAGTCTGTCATCTATCCATCCATCTACTTAAATTGCAGTCGGATATATATGCTTTTTCTTATATGCATTTCTGTTGAATTCCAGTGCCCCCAGCCCCAGAGTTCTGTCAGGTCCTGCCACCCAATTATGGCCAAGTGCTGGTAGACCAGATATCTGATAATGTGGTTTTCAGCTTGTATCTTCCATGAGGACAAGACTCACTGTCTGGGAGACAAGCACCAGGGGCTGACTTCAGGCATTCTTTGATGCAGGGAGACACCTGCATTTTCTTTTCAGCCAACAGGTTTGGGGATTAAAGGCCCAAACCAGCCCAGACTTTCCCTTTTGCCTCGGTGAGGAGTAGGGGATCCGACAAATGGGACTCATCAAAAGAGAAAATGATAAATAGATTAATCTCTTCACTTGAATCCCACCGACTTTTTAAATTTAAATTTAATTTGTTTTATTTTTTAAAAAAGATTTATTTGAGAGAGCGAGAGAGAGGCCACAAGCAGCAAGGAGGGGCAAAGGGAGAGGGACAAGCAGACTCCCCACCGAGCAAGGAGCCTGATTCGGGGCTCGATCTCAGGACCCTGAGATCATGACCTGAGCTGAAGGCAACCGCTTACCTGACTGAGTCACCCAGGCGCCCCCACTACCGGTTTTTTTTTTTTAGAGAACTAGAAAAGATTGATAAGGTCATGTACTTTATTGTGGCATGCCTGGGTTTATATGACATAGCCTATTAAATCTGATGGGTTTTTAAAATTATTTTTTCAAATTCATTCAAACCAATGGTAATACAATACCCTGTCATGAATATCAAGTGTGTGTGCACATGTTTTTAAAATAGTTGCCCTCTATAACTTAGGTAGGGAAAATATAATCAGTGCCCGAGTCTCAGCATGGGTCAGACCATCATATTTTAACAGGAAACCAGCACCTCTGAAAGACCGAGAAGTAGTTATAATCACCTCTTACATTGTAACAGATTTCTTACCATACATAAAATCCTTCAGCTTACCCTCCTGGGGATGGAGTGTTTTTCCTTCTTTCTGGTTGGGTGAAATAAGCTTCCAGGAGGTCAGCTGACCTGCCGAAGGTCAGAGAGCAAGGGAGAAGGTCGCCAAGCCAGGGGCAGAAGCCAGCCCTGCGAATTCTAAGTACAACTTTCTTGCCATAGTTCTTTCCTTCTTGCGCTCTTAATTTTAGAGTAGATTGGCCAGGAGATAAATCTGAGTTAGGGAGTAGTAGACTACTTGAGGTTTTCAGTATTTTTCTAGCACCAAGGGTGACTCAAAGGAAGCACCAACCCTACAGAGCTAGGTGGAGTTTCTGCTTTCTAGAATAATGATAATGATGATGATGTTGGTGACACTGAGCACGAGGTGGGGGACTTTCTGTCGATTAGTTCCTTTAATCCTCCCTCCAGCTAGACCAGATAGGTGCTGTGATGTTCTCTCTTTTACTGTCGAAGAAAAGGGCTCAGCAAGGGGAAGTGACTTGTCAGGGTCCGTCATAGGGTGCCTGGCAGAAATGCCCACTCAGGCCCTTTGATTCGGAAGCCTGTTCTCAATCACTGACTCCCCCGATGTGAACAGCCTGATGTGACCCACACCTTACTTTATTACATTCACACTGGACACAGAGACTGAAAAACGCTCAGTGTCACGCCGACGGGACCGAAACATTTCCTCTGGGATCCCAACTGCCAGTCCAACAAATAGAACTTAAGAGACCAAATGTGTTAATAAGAGCATGCATTAAATCCAATTTTTTTAAAAAGATTTTATTTATTCATTTGGCAGAGAGAGACACCGAGAGAGGGAACACAAGCAGGGGGAGTGGGAGAGGGAGAAGCAGGCTTCCCGTGGAGCAGGGAGCCCGATGCGGGGCTCAATCCCAGGCCCCTGGGATCATGACCTGAGCCGAAGGCAGACGCTTAACGACGGAGCCACCCAAGTGCCCCTTAAATCTAATTTTTTAAATTCCTTTTTTTTTACTCTTTAAATTTTTTTTCATTACAGTAAAATGTAGATAATAGAAAATTTGCCACCATAACCATTTCTAAATGTATGAATCAGGGGCCTTAAGTATACATTTGCATTGTTGTGCGACCACCAGCATGAAACATCTCCAGAACCTTTTCATCTTCCCAAACTGAAACTCCATACCTACGAAACACGAACTTCCCCCTTTTCCTCTTTCCCCAGCCCCTGAAAAGCACTTTTTCTGTCTCTCTGAATTTACTACTACCTGCTTCAGATAAGTAGACTCATATATACACTATTTGTCTTTCTTGCGATAAATCTGCTTTTTAAAAGCAAACTCTTAGTCTGGTAGGAGTACTTGTCTCAAGAAATCCAGCAGGTGCCTGGTATGAATTGAAGGATCCTGCCATCATGGGAATGATCCCCTCACCCCACCCCCATTTACTAATGATTAACTTCAAGTACGTTACCTTGACCCTGTGCACTTTATAGCCTCGCGGTCATTTGGAGCTGGAAACAGTGCGTGTGAGATTGGTTGGTATAAATCAGTGGTCAGCCAAAAAAATGGCTTTTTTGTGGTTATTCTTATTGCCTCTGAGCAGTTAGGTCACCCACCTTGGAGGTGGGGAAGCTGAGGCTGCAGGCACCCCATGGGGTGAGTAGCGGAGCTGGGGGTCCAGACCAGTCCAGGTGTCTCCGAGGAGCCCCAGGTGAGGACCTGGCAGGGTTCTTCCCAGTGAGCATCACTGCTGGTCCAGGGCTGTGAGGACCACTTGGCTTTCCCATCGTGCATGAGATGCTTCTCAGTGGCCCTCACTCTGTTCCCCTGCCTCTTCCAGGAAATGGCCCAGCACCTGCTGGCAGTATTTGGTGGCTACTACATCCGGCTCCTCGTGACCTCGCAGCTCCCCCAGGCAGTGGGGACACGACACACAGACTCTGCAAGGTTTCCCTGCCCCTGCCAGCTCGTAGAAGCCCATATCCTGGGCACTGGGTGCTGCCCCTTCCTGGCCAGGTGACCTAGGGAGGAAGGCACCCAGCTTCCTGCAGGGCTGAAGGTGAGACATCGGGAAGGCTTGGTGCCCCAGCTGGCTGCACGTGAGCCCCCAGGTGAGGAGAGAAGCATCTAGGAGCACGCTGAAGAGTGTCAGTCATGTCAGCAGCAGGGGTGGTATCGTGCTCACTCCAGGACTCTGCGCAGAAATGCCTGTTGACATCCCATGCTGATCCCTGGCCTTTTCAGAAGCTGCTGGTAGCCAAGCTGGTCCCACTCCAGACTACCCTGTGCTGCCTAGAACCAGGGGCACGGACGGAGGGCCACTCTCCCATGCCTTTCATTGTTTGGAGAGCCCAGGAAATGTGAAGAGGACCCTACTGGGCCAACCATGTGTCCAAAGCTTGGTCTCCGATGATGCTCCCATCCTCAGCTACTTCATGTCAGATGGGGAAACTGAGCCTTGGAGAGGACTCTGCTCTCTGTAGCATTATCTTGGCCCTCTAGAATTCCTACTCTGAAGGAAAGAAGTCAGTTCTCAGAATGTTCCCCCCTTTTAAGTTTTTCCTGCCCTTTATTTTATGAAAAACAATGGCCCGATGTTGTTTGCTCGCACACACACTTCCAGGGGACAAAAAAAAGAAACCAACAGCATGTAACTGATGATGGAACTCTTTGGAAAAGATCGATCCTGATTTGTGGATGTCTTTTGTTCAACGGCATGCATGCTTGTGGTTGTGGTTTTCTCCTTCAGGCCTAGACTCACAGTCCTGTATTTTCTGACACTAACACTGTCCTGGAATGAAGCATAATCTGTCACTCATGGCGTTCCATGAAGAGCTCGGGGGCTTCCAGGTTCTCTGCTCCTGAGCAAGTTTGAAGACCGATTATTCCATAGGCCCAAATCCAAAAGATGTGCCCTGGCACGCAAAGGCTCCCCAACCTCCAGGACCCAGCCCTCATCTGTAGTTTTGGCTTCATCTCCCACAGAACTTCTTGCTAAGTTGAAACTTTTTCCTGGACTAACATACCTATTCTGTTGCGTTCGTTGAACTCCTGTGCATGCTTCAAAGCCCAGCTTTACTTACCCTCCTTCAGGAAGCCTTTCAACATAGAACATGCCCTGCTTCGCTGCCTCCTCTAAATTCTTAATGTAGCTGCTGCCTTTGTTGAGGTTTTATGTTATTCTGCTTTCCTACGCATATGTGTATTTTTCGAGCTAGACTAAGCTCCTGAAGGACAAAGATCTCACCTTATAATTTTTGTGCATGGCCTGGACCTGCTAAGGAAAAAAAATCCAGTGGATTGAGTGCTTTGTCATCTCCATAGTAACATTTGCAGATTGTGCTCTCTACTCAGTTGAATGATGAAGTTGGCACAGACCTGGGTTCTGGTCCTGACTGACATTTCTGGCTGTGCAACTTTCAGCCAGTCCTCAGTTTACTCATCGTTATATAAAAGGATATATAGTGGACAGGTTGGATGATTCTTAATTGCCCTTCCAAAGCCAAAGTTCTGGCTTTTTCTGTTCCAGTCTAGCCCTTGGCCTGTTATGTTTTTATCTACATGTAGAAGGTCCTCTAGCCTTGCATGACCGAGGTGTCCCAGACCTGATGGGCCTTTGGACAGAACACGGGCCTAGCGAGCAGGAGACCTGGATTCTCATGCCGGGTGAGAAGCTTCCTAGAAGCATGACCGTTGGCTACGTCACTTACCCTGTCCGAGGGCCAGTTTACTCCTTTATAAATGGATCTGGTGAACATGAAAGGTAATTGTGTGGGTGACTTGCTGTGTAAGAGACCAGTCTGACTGTTTTCTTTCTCTGAGCCAGAGAAGAGAAATTGTGGACATAGACCCACCCTCGGAAATGGCCATTGTAGACATTTCTCTTTAGAGATTTCTCTGAGGGCAGCTATACTCGATAAGAGTAACTCGTGGAGGCAGTCACTGTTCTTCTCACCTGCCGCAGAGGATATGCGGGCTGGGGACAGGATCTGTAGAAGCCCGTCTTTATCATCCACCCATAAAACCCTGGTAAGTCTCGTAGGAGAATAAAAATGTGTCTGTTAAATGACGGAACAGGGCTCCTGGGTGGCTCAGTCGGTTAAGTGACTGCCTTCGGCTCAGGTCATGATCCTGGAGTCCCGGGATCGAGTCCCGCATCAGGCTCCCTGCTCAGTGGAGAGTCTGCTTCTCCCTCTGACCCTCCTCCCTCTCATGCTCTCTGTCTCTCATTCTCTCTCTCGCAAATAAATAAAATCTTTAAAAAAAAAAAAATGACGGAACAGCTGTTCTTCCATTTCAAGGCTGATTTACAGACCCCTCCTGGAGGGGTTCTTTCCTGCTTTTTCCTCTCCAAGTTTCTGGTGGTCTCACCTGGTGGGTGGAACACTCAGGTGTGCCCCCAGGTACTTCCTTTGCATCTGCCCCTTGGTTTTCTCATTTAGAAAATCCTGTGATCTCTGCCTTGCCTGCCTCCCAGGGTTGTGTGAGGATCAGAATCCATCAGTGGACACGCTCTGCTTTAAGGCTGTGTGCCGAGGACAGGCACGGAGGTGGTGTCTTGATGGGCGAGCGGAGGGTGTGGCTCAGAGCTTGGCTTCTAGACTCAGATCCAGGTTCTGCTCCTTAGAGCAGCGTCCTTCCCATCCTTGGGTGTCCCTCCTCACGTGTGGAATGAGGATAAGAGTACCTCCTTGGCTTGGCAGGTATTGTGAAGATTAAATATAAAGTACTTGCAACTTTGAGTTGCAAGCTTGAGTAAGAGCACAATCAATTGTTGCTATATATATATATATATTTTTTTTTTTTAATCTCTCACTATGTCTTATATACCGTAGGTGCCCAGGATATATATTTATTGATGTAGTAGGTCTTTAACAGTTAATGTTTATTCAGTCTGCATAAGACCTCAGTTACTCCAGCACCGTGGGATGTATTTATGTGAATAAAGCTTCTAGTCCAATCTCTCTGAAATTCAGTACCAGGAGGTAGCAGCGAGCTGGTGACTTTGGGCCACATGCTCACCCTCTCTATTCCTCCTATACCTCCATTTCTTCACCCATAAGGGAGGGTGTGAGGATAGGGGCATTAACTGAGGTGTTGCATGGGAAGTACAAGGTCTGGGCCGTAGTATGGTCCAAAGTCAGGGCTCCATCAGTGACCGCATTTCTGTGCCACTGTTGCATGCTGTTTGCTCCCCGTGTCTGTTGGTGCTGGTTCAGACCTGCGTTGCTCAAATCTGCATCCTTACCCATTTCAGGTTGTTAGTGCGATCAGTCACTGAGGGAGGAAAATCTCCAAGTACGACTGTAGATTTTCTGTTTTGCCTTTTACTTCTTCTTCTTCTTTTTTTTTTTTTTTTAATTTATTTGACAGAGAGAGACACAGCGAGAGAGGGAACACAAGCAGGGGGAATGGGAGAGGGAGAAGCAGGTTCCTGGCTGAGCAGGGAGCCCGATGCGGGGCTCGATCCCAGGACCCTGGGATCACGACCTGAGCCGAAGCAGACGCTTAATGACTGAGCCACCCAGGCGCCCCTTGCCTTTTACTTATGACACATTTTTTTTTTTACATCGTTTTAAAAAATTAAGATGTAATTCACATAGCATAAAACTCACTGTTTTAAAGATTTATTTATTTTTTCCAGAAGAGAGAGAGAGCATGCGCATACACATGAGTGAGGGGCAGAGGGAAAGAATCCCAAGCAGACTCCATGCTGAGCCTGTTGGGGCTTGATTTCACGACCGTGAGGTCATGATCTGAGCCCAAACCAAGAGTCTGATGCTTAAGTGACTGAGCCACCCAGGCCCCCCCCAAAATGCACCGTTTTAAAGTATACAGTTCAGTGGTTTTCAGTATATTCACAGGATTGCATGACCATGAAACTATTTTATTCTAGAACATTTTCATCACCCTCCCCATGCCTCCCCTGCCAAAAACCCATACCCATTAGCAGTCACTACCCATCCTGCCACCCCCCCCACTCCCTGCCCCCCAGCCCTGACAACTGCTGATCTGCTTTCTATCTCTGGATTTTCCCCTTCTGGATATTTCCTATAAATGGAACATACAGTATATGTCCTTTTATGTCAAGCTTTTCTAGTAGTAACAAAATATTTTCAAGATTCCTCCATGTTATAGCATGTATCATTATTCCTTATGATTAATTTTTAATTCCTTATTATTCCTGAATGATATTCCATTACATGGATATATCCCATTTTGTTTATCCTTCTTCAGCTGGGTTGTTTCTATTTTTTGGCTTCTGTGAATAATGCTGCTGAGAACAATTACGTATAAGTTTTTGTGTGAACATATCTCTTAGTTCACTTTTTTTTTAAAGATTTTATTTATTTATTTGAGAGAGAGAATGAGAGAGAGAGAGCACGAGAGGGGGGAGGGTCAGAAGGAGAAGCAGACTCTCTGCCGAACAGGGAGCCCGATGCGGGACTCGATCCCGGGACTCCAGGATCATGACCTGAGCCGAAGGCAGTCGCTTAACCAACTGAGCCACCCAGGTGCCCTCTTAGTTCACTGCTGACAAGTTTTCCTCTGCTGTCATACACATGCAGACAAATTTAGGGTTGTTAAAACTTCCCAATGGCTTGGCCCTTTCATCTTTATGAAATGTCCCTCCTTATCTCTATTAGATTATTGCCTTAAAATCTACTCTGTCTGGCACATTAGCTTTCTTTGGATTAGGGATTACACAGTATATATTTGCTCATCTTTTACTTTCAATTTATCTGTGTTTCTATATTTAAAGAGCCCTTCCTGTGGACATGTGGGATTAAAAAGAATTCTCTGCTTTTTTTTTTTTTTAAGATTTTATTTATTTGAGAGAGAGAGAGAGCACAAGTGGGTGAGGAATAGAGAAGCAGAGGAGGAGGAAGAGCAGACTCCCCACCGAGCAGGGAGCTTGATGCGGGGCTCCATCCCAGGACCCTGGGATCATGACCAGAGCTGAAGGCAGACGCCAACCAACTGAGCCACCCAGGCACCCCTCAGTTCTCTGTCTTAAATCACAACAGACATTATTATATAACCAGCACTCATTTAGATTGATCCCCATGTTTACTTTTTATTACTCTTTATCTGTTACCTTTTTCTTACTTTTTGTTTCTTCCTGCATTTCCACACATTTATCCATGATTATTCTCCTTTTCCTGGAACTACCTTTGGAATTTTTCTTCAGTCCAGGAGAGCATGCAGTACATTTAGAACTACCTTTGGCATTTTCTTTCCCATACAGACCCTCGGGTGACAGATGGAGTTTTTGTTTGCCAAAAAGCCTCTGTTTTGTCTCGAATTTTGAAAGATATTTTTGGTGCGTCAAGAATTCTAGGGCACTACAGCTATTTTCTTTAAAAATTTGGAAGATGTCAAAAAAACCCCACGACCACACCAACTTTGGAAGATGTAAAAAAAAAAACCCCACGACCACACCAACTTTGGAAGATGTCAAAAAAAACCCACGACCACACCAACTTTGGAAGATGTCCTTGGCTTGCTTTGTTTGCATTTGCAAAGTCAGCTCTCCGACTGTTGCTGTTCTGATCTGCTGGGGGCTTCGGCAGGTGTGGTGTATGCATCCAGGTGTATCTTCTTTTAGCTTCTGCTTGGGCTCCCTGATGCATCCGGGATCCCTGACATGGCTTCTTCCATCGTAGCTTTTCCCCCGTTCTCTCTTATCTCCCTCTGAGGCTCTCATGCCATGTGTCGAACAGCTTTTCTCTGCATCTCGACGGCTCTTTGCACTTCCCATGCTTTTGGTTCTTCATGATTCAGTCTGAATGTTTTCTACTGGTCCATTCTGCTTCATTCCTCCTGCCTTCCTTTGTGTTACAATAGGTGGTTAACCCTTTCGATTGAGTTCTTCATTTCAGCTCGCCTGGGATCCAGTCCTAAAATGTTTAATTGACTTTTTAATACAGGTTACAGTGTTCAGATGAAATTACCTGTCTCGTCACCTGTTTTCTTCAATATGTTAAAATGCATGTTTGCTGACTCCAGTTTCTGGTTCTTCTGTGAGATGCGTTTCTTTTGCTTTTCGGTCAGTTGGTCTTTCTTATCTTCTGGTGTTCTTGGTATCTTTTGATTGAATGCTAAACTCCTTTTAAAAAGTGAACAATTGAAGGGCACCTGGGTGGCTCAGTTGGTTAAGCGACTGCCTTCGGCTCAGGTTATGATCCTGGAGTCCCGGGATCGAGTCCCGCATCGGGCTCTCTGCTCGGCAGGGAGTCTGCTTCTCCCTCTGACCCTCCCCCCTCTCATGTGCTTGCTCTCTCTCATTCTCTCTCTCTCAAATAAATAAATAAAATCTTTAAAAAAAAAAAAAAGGGCGCCTGGGTGGCTCAGTCGTTAAGCGTCTGCCTTCGGCTCAGGTCATGATCCCAGGGTCCTGGGATCGAGTCCCACATCGGGCTCCCTGCTCAGTGGGGAGCCTGCTTCTCCCTCTCCCACTCCCCCTGCTTGTGTTCCCTCTCTCGCTCTCTCCCTCTGTTGAAAAATAAATAAAAATCTTAAAAAAAAAAAAGTGAACAATTGAAGAGATATACAAGACTCTAGACATTCCTTTAGAGTGGATTTACTTTTGCTTCTGAGAAAAGTAGGGTTGGGATAGATTTGATTCTAGGTTCCAGTCCTAGTAGGGCCTGGTCTATTTCTGGATAGCCCTGACTTCCCCTTAAGGTACTTTAACTGAAAACCTGTTTTTTTTTGTTTTTGTTTTTGTTTTTGTTTGTTTGTTTTTGAAACTTGTTTAAAACCAGAACTCCTCCTCTAGGGTGAATTCCTCCTTCAGGGTGAGCCCTCAACTTCTAATTTTTGTTACCCCAAGCTGTGAGTCTGCTGAAAGTTCCCCCCAGTTTTTCAGCCTCTTAGACCCTGCTTAGGAATTGGCAGGTGCCTCCAGGAGGTCAGGAGACCTCAATATGCATTTCAGCCCTCTGCACTTCCTTTCTCTCCAGGATGTTGGTCCAACTCCTCACTGCCCTGGGAGCTCTCTGATGCATTCAAACAGATTTAAGAAAACCCAAAAAACGCAACAACAAAAAAACCCCAAACTACAGCTTTTTGAACTGCTCTCAGTGGGAGGATTGGTCTGATACAAACTAGTTTGCCATAGTCAGAGGTCAGATCCAGCTGTGGCTTCTGTTATTATTTTTACTGTTACTGTTTGAAAATCCTTCAAAGAAAGAGATCACCCTGAGGCCAAGAACCCTCTGACAAGTTCATAAGATGTGAGCCTCTTCTCATCCCTCTGCGGAGAGGCTTCTAAATGATCAGAGCAGGAAGTGACATTTCAGGAGCACCTGCTGCAGGCCACCGTTCCAGCACGTCAGAAACACGGGGGCTCTCTGGGGAAGGAAGGTGGGCCCTTGGCATGGGAGAGGGGAGGAATGCATAGGATGAGAAGAAGCTGGGTCAGAGGGTGGGTCCTGGGCGTGCAGTGTGACGACTGGTAGGAGAGAAGGACGGAGGACAAAGGGGCCCCAGGGGAGCATACTTTCTCTCCACCTGACCGACGCTCCTGGGGTGTCTTCCCTTGCGTAGAAGAGGCGCTTGAGCCTACTGAACTGATAAGGCACACGCAATTAGCAAGCCCTCTTGCTTCCTTCCAACCATTGTTCTTTTATCCTTTCCAGCTAAGTATTTCCAACCTCCTTCCAGTGGTGGCCCCCTAGACATCCCATAGGCTCCTGCAGTTTAACCTAGCGCAAGGTGAAATGATCTTCTGTGTGTTGTCAACCTGGCCTCAAGCCCACCTCCCTTCTCAGTTCTCTGCGTGGCAGAAGAAGTCAAGAACCTCCTTTCCCAGAACCTTCTTCTCTGTATGGTTCTGAGTTAGGAACTGGCCAGCTTTGCCTGAGAAATCTACTGTAACTCGGGACTCTCCTCTCTGTCCTGGGACTGCTGTCATGGCTGACTGCCCCGGCCGCCTCCTGAGGTGTTTGTGTCAGTCGGGGTCCCATCAGATGCTAAAAACTACACGGTCATTCGAATGTGGGAAGTTTGATAAGAAAGAATGATTGAGTGTAACGGAAGTTGAATAATGGATTCGTAAGTAAGAAGTAAAGAGACACCAAAGAATATAGAAGAGCCCATGGAAGGAACAGCTACCACCCCTCGGGTGGAGAGAGAGCCCCCAAGGAAGTTCCCTCCACACCCCATCCCCAGGTGAAATCTGGACCTTGTTAGGGAAGGACATAGCTGTGGCTTCCTGGATGCAGAGAAATCTCTGAGCTGCTGTGTTGATAGAATGTTCTAGAAATCTGCACTTGAAGGTGCCAGGGAAAGCTATCACAGAGAGATGGAGGTACTTCCCAGTTTGTTGGTGGGCACTGGGAGAAGTTGTTCGCTGCTAAGTACTACTAACCACCATGCAGGATCTGGGTGCTGGAACGTTGTCTCCACTGCAGGAACCTGATGTTGGAGAAGCTTCTGCACAGCATGTACAGGGTGCTTGGGAAGCCGTGTGCACTGCCAAAACCAGATGATTGGAGGAACTGGGTGGACTGCAGGAGCCTGCTAAGATGAGCGCACCGAAACCAGGAGGGAAAGCCCTTCTTCCTCCAGTGTCTCCAGCGCCTCCTACTGACAAAGCTTAACATTGTACCAGTTGCCAAAGGAAAAAGATTTCAAGGGCCCAGCTCCCTGTTTGAAGTGCAGGCAATGAACAGTCCATTTGGGAGCCAAGAGCAATAACTGGATGTCACTCTCCCGTCATTGTGAAGGGCAGCATAACTGGTTGGTTAAGAGCGTCAACTCCGGAATCAGGCTTCCTGGGTTCAAGGTTCAGCTCTGCCACTGCTTTTTTCCTGCTCTGTAAAACCAGTGTCCTAATCACACTAACCTTGTTGGGTTTTATGCTAGGTGAGTGGATATTTATAAAGCACTTAGGAGAATCAGCGACATACCAGAATTTACACATCCTTTAAATTGCAGCCAGGATGGGCTTTCCGTTGTAGGTGTGAGTTTTAGTCGACAGTGCTATGGCATAAGACATCATTTTCCTTTCTTTCTCTCTTTTCTGAGGTGGGAGCCGGCACAGGGAGAGCTGGTAGGAGAAGCTGTCTTAACAACTCTCCGCGTTGTATTGCAAAAATCAGAAATAGGGCTATGTCATTTTGTTGCCTGAAACTCATCTGTGGTGCCCCCATCACCTTCAGGGGAGGGTCCAACCTCCTTCCCAGGATCTGGAGCTTTTAACGATCCTCTGCCCCGCTCACCTCCCACCACACCCTGGCTCAAGTTTGCTACCTTCACGTTGTGCCTCTGTCTTCCAACTTCGTTGATTTCGCTCCCCCTTCGGGAATACCACCCCCCTCCGGCTTGCCTGGTGAGTTCCCTTTCAACACCCAGAAAACTCAAGCAACTGTCTCTTCCAGGAAGCCTTCCCCAAAGCCCCGTGTTGGTTGCCGCATGCTTCCCATTCTTTTGCTCCCCCCAAATTGTCCTATTATGTTGAGGTGATAGGCTCCCATGCCTGGTTCACTGGCTAAAGGTGGAGCCACGTGGGGTCTCCGGCGTAGGACTCAGGTTTGCACGTGCTTTGTTTCGCAAACACCGGCGGTGTGTTGCGTTACCCTAGGGCTGCTGGTCCATTGCAACCCGCCCCACTGTTCATGATGGCCCTGAGCCCCAAATGGAGTCTCCCAGCAGATGAGAATTGTGCCCTCAAGCTCTAGATGTTTATTATAGCCCCACTTAGAGCCACCTGTTACACTCACCGGCCTCTCCGAAGCACTTCCTCGTTAGGCTGGCTAGGAGTGGCTGAGAGTGTTTGAGAATGATTAAACCACATTTCTTTACAAGAGATGCCAGGTTCTAATTGCTCCACATTCAAAGGAATCTCAGAAGCAGGGCCGAAGGGGTGCCTGGGTGGCTCAGTTGGTTAAGCGACTGCCTTCGGCTCAGGTCATGGTCCTGGAGTCCCGGGATCGAGTCCCACATCGGGCTCCCTGCTCGGCAGGGAGTCTGCTTCTCCCTCTGACCCTCCCCCCTCTCATGCTGTTTCTCTCTCGCTCGCGCTCTAATAAATAAATAAATAAATAAATAAAATCTTTAAAAAAAAAAAGAAGCAGGGCCAAGGGAAGGGAAAGGAGGAGGGACACAGTCCTGTGATGCAACCAGAGACTTTAATGGGATGCCACCCCTCCCGCAGTGGCTGGAGTGACTTGCTGGTGGCACAGGGGTGGCTCAGACGTCTTCTCCTCCTCCAGGGGAGTTTCTGAATCCATCTTCATAGCCTCCTGCTCACCGCCCCCTTCCTCCCGGAGGAGCTGCTCGGGCAGCCACACAGCATGGACGCTGCCGACTAGAATGCTCAGGGCCTCCCAAGAGTGCATCCTTTCGGTATCCAGTTGTTGGCGGGGTGGTGTGCGTATCTCTTTTGGAAACCATTCTTGCGAGAATCTGTGTTCAGATCTGAAAGAGTGAAGGAAAATGTTGATCCTCGGTAAAGGCTTTGAATTACACATGGATAAACAGTCTTAGTCA